AGAGAGAGAGAGAGAGAGAGAGAGAGAGAGAGAGAGAGAGAGAGAGATCCCTCCTAGGTAGTGTGGCAGAAGTAGGCAGTTTCCTGGGGTAGGTAGGGAAATTGACGAAGAATCAAGAGGGAGAAAAAAATCATCTTTCAGAGAATTCAAGTAATTGCCAGGTTTGCGAGAAGCCGTCTTTACAATTTTCCGGTGTGTGCAGTAGGTAGGCAGGACTTAAGGCGTGGGGGCAGCTGGCTGCACTCTGACTTGCAAAGCAGGGCAGAGGAGCTTGGTTATGGGCGGGCGTCCAGGTCTGGAACACGGGTGAATCGCACAGCCCAGAGGGAGCTGGGGGCATCCCCGGCCCGGGCCTTTGCTCAGGTACTAGCCGGTCTGCTGGAGCAGGTGTTTCCTCCACGCACGTTAATCTGCACCCGCGCCTGCTCTGTCGTCAAAGCCTCGCGCTGCGGGTGTGCACAGCTGTGACCCTGGTGCACACAGGTGCCCGGCGCAGGCGGGCTCAGGGCAGTTAGCAGAGTCGGTGAACTCTGTCCTCATCCTTTAAATTCCGACGGAGATGTGCCAATAAATACGAACCGAACGTCTGCCTGGTTTTGGTTTTTGCTCTCATGGGGTCTCGGTAGGTGAAAAGAAAAATGAACCCACGGCGACCCCACCGGCTGCCTCTGGGACCCCCGAAGCGACAGCTGGAACTGCCAGTGTGGTGAGCTTCTGGGCCTGATAATCTGAGCCCCGAGATGCTGTCCCACCCACCTACTCAGGGAAAGATGTGACGGGGTCGGGTCCCCCCAGTGGCTCTGGCCTTGCTCCAGCCGCAGGAGGATGCCAAGCTTGGGGCGCGCTTCGCGCTGGCGATGTCCGCGGGGCTCCGCTGGGGCCGGTCAGGCTGTGCGCTCCAGAAGAAGTGACAGGGCGGCGGAGGGTAGCTGGCGGGCGTGTGTGTCGCCCTCTCACGCGGGTGTCGCGCTGCGGAGCGCCTGGCTGGCCACCCCGAAGGGCTCGCGGTGGCTGGCGGCGCCCGCTGCTCTGCGTCCCAGCTCACTGCGCCTCGGGTGGGCAGGCGCAGCTGTCCCGATCACCCTGCGCGCAGCAGCTCCTGGGCTCCCCTCGGCTCCCGTGGGCCCGGGAGTCGCCCCCTGTCCCTGTCCCTGTCCTCCGCCCCCCTCGGTAGCCGCACCAGCGGGAGCGGCGGGAGGAGGAGGAGGCGGCGCCGCGGGGACTGTCTCCTCCCCGTCCCTCGCGTCTCCTCCCCGCGCCACCGAGAAGGACAAGGGGACTGGGCACAAGGACCCCGGCCAGTGAGCGCCTGTGTTCCGGGACCGCCCCTCCCGCGCGCTCTTTCGCTGCGAGCCCGGGCCGGTGTAGCGGCGCATGGTTCTGGCAGCAGCCATGAGCCAGGACGCGGATCCCAGCGGTCCGGAGCAACCCGACAGAGATGCCTGCGTCGTGCCTGGCGTTCAGGGGGCCCCCGCGCCCCAGGGCCAGCGAGGGATGCAGCCTCTGCCGCCACTGCCACCGCCGCAGCCTCAAGCCAGCCTGCCCCAGATCATCCAAAAGTAAGAGGGAGAAGGGAGCGGGGCCTGGGGTACGCCTGGAACACACCCCAGGGGCCCCCTTTTGTGGCTTCCTTTTCATACCCTGCTAAACTTCGTCGGCCCCTCGGTGTTTGAAGTGTTGTTGGCCCTCTGGGCAGGGTCGGTGTCATTCTGGCTTGTTGGTGAGATTGGGTAGAAGGACAGTTAAGTTATTCGGGAGGAAATAATTTCTGTTTTTCCGTATGCTCTCTGTTCTCTTCTGGGATGTTACTTTTTAACTAAATAAGCTCAAAGTTGGGTGAAATGACCCAGAGACTATTTTTCATCCTTCTGGTCCTTAGCGACCACTGGAATGTATGGCAAGTCAAGCGCGTGCTCGCGCTCCTAGTGAGAGTGTGTGAGATATCGCCACTGAGGACGAAAGCACCTTTAGTGGAGTCAACTAGAGACTTTGGGGCAAAGGGAGATGAGGCCTGTAAACAACGCGCTTGGCTTTACCTAACTGCAAACAGTTTACAACATGGCCCTTGCGAAGAGTTCTCAGCCGCAGAATAAGATTCCCACTAGTTACGGGTGAACCTTGCCTTGCCGTTCAGGTTGAGAATTTTCATCGTCTATCCATAGGCTGGGGTGGTGAGGGCGTCCCGGAAAGTCCGTTAGCCTGTCTGCTGGCCCTTTGTTTCCCCCATTCCTTACAAGGCTTGTCAGTTTGAGGCCTAGAATGTTGGATTATTTGGAGGCTCTTTTCAGGTTTGTTTAGCCTGTGACCAAGTCCTGAAAAACGCTCGGGCAATGAGTGCTTCCACAAAACCAACCAGCACTAAATGCGTGTAAATTCAGGAAAACCTACATGGGGAGCTGAAGTTTTTTAGGTCGGTTGTGCTGATGTTGGGAATTCATTGGAATGCACTAAGAAAAATAAGTGGAAATGTAAACGGAAACGAATAGTCAAATACGAATGGTTTAAAAAACCGAGTTATGTAATAGAAAGAGTGAAAATTCGAGTTTGCCATCAATAACGGCGGAGTCACATTTCAGGACAAAATGGTTCCCTATCTGTTGGCTGGTCAAATCATAAAGTCCTGTTCTACTTGTAAAGCTTTGGGCCTTCAACTTTGATAGTTTGCATAACTTTCAGCTCCTTGCGATTTGCAACTTTTTAAAAGTGAAAATATTTCCTAATCTTCTTTCCCCTTGTTTTGCAAAGCATTTCAGCAAATCCTAACGAGGATTGACAGTTTCTCTAACTTAATTGAAGTTTCGACATAAATATAAATCAGTAGATAAAAACTGCTTAAATCTAAAGTTTACTTACTAAAACCTCCAAGTTGATCCATTATGAATTTGAAACAACTAACTTTCTCTGTGAACCAGTGACTTGTGTACTGAAATCATCCTGCATGTTAAATTTATCAAAACCACTTTGTTTTTAGTAATCAGCCTGTGTTTCCCCCCACTTTTAATTAGATTAAAAACTCAGAACTTTTTATTCCCAGAAAAAAAAAACTGTTTGAAGTATTGCCAGGTAGGGAAAAAAAGCCCACTTATAGAAATGGATAATTTAAGATATACTTTAGTTTCTTCATGTAATTAATAATGTAAATTATACATTTATCCCCCATTTGGAAAATTCCATCTCCGGAATATGCTATTTTTGAAAGACAAGAGGGAGCCTTTCAAAGATGGCCCCTTCTCCTACAGGCCAGGATGGAGCCCTGCAGCAGGGCCCATGGACTGGTGACCCATCCGTGTTCAGGGACAAGGTCCAAGGCGGTGGATGTGCCCGTGGGATTTGATGTTCGTGCTCTAATATTTCAGAGCTTTTCTTTATAAGGGTGATTTGGGGTTTGCATCTCCCTCCGTGCCCACAGAAATTCCGCTGGAACCCAGCGGAACACGGCAAGCGCTTTGCAGGCCCCTCTGTAATGCGCTGAAACCTGAGCGGGCTATTTTGAAACTACGTTTGCATAATTTAATCTGAGCAACCATTTTTATGTTGTGGTGAGGTGCAGTTTGGATCAACCATCTTTGAGAAGAGGTAGCGGGTTGCTTGCCTTTGGATGAAAATTAGTTGTCTGCCCCCAGACTTGGAGGCATTTGTGAACTAAAGCTGCGGATACAATTTTCTTTTTTTTTAAATTGAAGCCCATATTAAATATTCTGAGTGACTCTTTTAGTTTTTGTAGTTAGTTCAGTGAGGTCATTAAGTCTTCCCTAAGTTTCACTCTTTTTCAGAATAAGAGAGACATCAATCTTAAGGTGGCTTAGCTTTTAAGGATTACAGGGTTCTTTCACCTTTTAAGGTCTGCGTTGCCTGATTAGCAATGGTTTTCATTTTGGAAAAGGTCAACGACTTTGGTAAAACCACGGAGAAGATGAAAACAGGTTTTGTTCTCATGGTTTACATTGGGTCTTAGAGCTGCACTTAACTAATGAAACACTTGAGATGCGATGATAAATAACGGGGCTCGGTCGGTTGTTTGTTTTTCTGGAGTCCGGCTCGCGGCTTGGGAAGGTTGCGGGTCGCAGCGCATCCGTGGAGGCCTTCTGTTCCAACTAGGTGTACTTGGTTCTCTTATTGTTGTGTTCTTTAGTTGAGCAGCAACCATACCGCTGCTGATCCTGTCTGCCCTGACATGAGAAGCCTTACAAGCTCATCAGGCAGGTACAATCGTATAACTCGGATCTGGGGACGTTTTGGTTTTAAGTCTGCAAGTTGGCCAATGTGGAGCTGTCGCTGTATTACAGAAGGTACTATCTAAACCCTTCGGAAAACAAGAAATATAAAAATACCTTAAGAAAAGATTTGGGATGGGTTTAGGAAATCAAAATAATTTGAAGATTAAAAAAAAGGCATGGATTTGTTTTTCATGTCAGCGGAAGAAAACGGTGCTTGATGCCATCTTACTTCCAAAATTACTTTATTTTTAATTGTTTTAATTATTTTAATTATTTTGATGCTTTAAAATTGACTATAATCTTTGATTTATAAGACATAAACATTGATGGGCAATGGGCATTTAAATTTTAGATGATAAGTTTCTAAACTTCTATCAGAGTAAGGATAGAGTTACAATTGTATAACGTGTGAATGTCATTGGACAGATGGGATTACAAGGGATACCTGAGTGTGAGGAAACATACCAAACACATACCTTTATGTAGTAAATCACAAAGACGATTTTCCTAAATTATTTACTTGATGCAAGATTTTCTTATTAATGAGTATGGATGAACTGCTTTCTCCTTTCCAGATCACTTTCACAAGTAAATAAAAAAAATAAAATAAAACCCCAAACAATTGGTGTAGTATTTGATAGCCAGCATGGGAGGGAGCGTTGCTTGATGAAGACAGGGTCCAGCCTTGAATTACACTTTAGTGTTTGCTTAGCACTAGTCTGCCGTTCTCTGTGTTCCGAGGCTAAGTCCTCGGAACAGAAAATCTTACAAGTGGCCTCTCCAATAGCAGATAACTTAACAGACAGCCTCCATTCCAAGGGATCTCCATGTAACAGTTAAGGATACATGATATGCAGGCAAATTCTAATCTTATGTGGTAGCCATCCACTTTGGTGGGCATGTTGATAATTCTGCCTACAGTTAGGGGGAAAAATTAAGAATTTATTAAAAAGGGACATTACTTCAGATATATTGGATCCTTTTCTGGAAGAGGATGGCCTTTCTGACACCTGGGTCACTTTTTTAACATCGTTTGGAGCCCATGTTCCAGGGGAAACAGGAATACACTTGTAGAAGGAATTTTGAAAATTTTAAACACGGTCTTAGACTACATGTAAGACAAGTATTTGGCAGGAAAAACATCTGCGAGGATTAAGTCTGCCCAAGCAGGAAAAGAGAGAAAAGGCTCTGTGTGTGCACCCTGAAGCCTCCCTCCACTCCCCCAGAAAGCCTCCTCAAGGTATTGTTTTTAAACGAAATTTTACTGGAGAGCTTCCCTCCCCCTGAAGTGTTTCTAGATAACATGGATAGCTGTCTAGTTCTCAGTTTTTCTCAAATTGCCTAAGAGATCAGTATTATGAAACGTGGAACATTACTCCCTTTAGTCACAGTAAATGACTGTGCATATGGCACACACTGACTGCTCACATGCCTGTGCTATGGGGGAAAGGAGAAAAGTTTGATTTTCGCCTTTTACTCCTTCATCCACTTCTTCATTTGCTATCACCTTAGAAGTTTATAAAACAATTTAACAGGGGCTTCTGTCTATCGGAAGTGAACTCTGGCTGGTTAAAATCTCTTTGCCTGCTCTAATTGTCTAGGGTTGGGGTTCTCAACCAACATGGCAAATGATCCTCCTTTATCCATTTTCTCTCTCTCTCTTGATTTATTTTTCTTGTGGCTGCAAGGTTCTTGATGGCAGTTTAAATAAATTTTTTCTTCTCTGGCCACATGGCCAATCCTCAAGCAAATAAACCAAAGTAATTGAAATTTATAGCTTTGATAACACAAATACACAAAATTGCTGGGGACCCAGTGGATGTCACCAAGAGACAGAAATTAAAATGGGCTACACTAAACATGGAAGCTAAAGCTAGGAGGAGCCTGAGCCAGTGGTGTGGAAACCCCAAAGAGAAAAAAATTCCCAAGCTAGACCCCAGGCAAGTGGTACTATAGAATTGGAGTTTTGTTTCCTATCCTGTGGAGATCTAGTTTGGGATGGCCTCATTGATGTTATTTTGTATATTTTAACAGAAAGTTTCTATGGAGCCATTTCGGGTGTAAGGGACTGCTGGAAAATTCAGAGTGATGGGAAGTCTGGCCGAAAGTAAAATGATCTATATTCAGGATTAGAGCAAAGATGATAATTAGCAGTCAGCTGGAAACAGCATGAGGTACTTCCTTCCCTGGTAAATGAACAGGGGTGATCTTGGTACTATATATGCTACCATGCTTCATGTGGCCTGTTCCCACCTGTCACTGGCAGGGACTTCCTGACTTGCATTAAGAGGCACGCTTTTGAATCTGCAATGTTGCTCAGTTTCCAGCCTACTGGTGGGCTG